CTAGCGTAGGCGGATGTTTTATGTTGAAAACCAGTACAGAGATAAATTGAACTGCTGCCACGTGAATGACTTGTTAGATACTTATGTTATATTGCCATTTGTACTCCTATTGTATTTAATGTAATTTGTCTAGCACATTATTAATTTAACTTTTGTTCATATGAATATTTCTTATATATTTTTTTTGCATTGATCATTTATTTATTTCATTTTAATACAGAAACTGTTGGAAACCCCAATTTTCAGTGGGGAATAAAATATTCTGACTGAGGATTCTGATAATCTTATACACTGGGAATTCCTGAAATTATAAATCTTCTTTACCTGCAATTAACAATATGTAATTTATATTCAAAGCCGTTACTTGTAGTAGCAGTGATAGTATATATATATATATATTTGTTTTCTTCCCATCATTGTGGAAGCAATAGACAATCATAGAACACATGATTTCATATTACACAGGTTCTTCAAAATGAAGTCTTTCCCTAGAAATGTCTTCTATGTCCGCCAACATTTTAAAGACCCTTTTTCCGTTCCACCTAAATTACCTCGTTATCCAGAAATAACTCTGAGATATTTCTATGACATGGATGTGATTTATTACAGTTAGATGCCTGAGTAAGCCCTCCCTTTTTTCCTTTATTGTTATCTCTCGTAAAAAAAAAAAATGGTCCGGCTGTTTTCTTTACATCCTAAACGTTTTTTGTGATCCTCCCGTGAAAATATTTCACTTGATTGATTATTAACATTGCCAGAATGAATAGTTTGGAATGTAAAGATCTCCTTTCTCATTGCCTAGCTCATCAGTCTTCAACATGATCCCATTGCTAGGTTTATAACTGAGTGCTTCATAGTCATTGTTGAGGTTTTTGTGACCAGAAAAATGAAGGACCTTTGTCACTGGGAGGTGTAAGGCATCCTTTGAAGGGTCTTTGATACAACTGTGCTGCTGATCTTCTGTAGGGAGGGACCAAACCTCACCTGGAGCAGGATGTCAGTCTGGAGGAGATCGCCTTCAACGAGCGCTGCGATTGCTTCAGGTGAGTCTTACTGAACATTTCACACTGTTTCTGCCGCTTTCAGTCTGATTAATTAACTGGATTTAAACATTGATAAGAACCACTGATACACTGTGTGTGTGGCGCGCAGTGGGTTGTGCATTGGTGTTCAGATCAGGGGGTCACAGGTTCAAACCCCACTGCAGTCAGCATGTCGTTGTGTCCCTGGGCAAGACACTTCACCCCAAATTGCTCCTGTGGGGATTGTCCACAGTATTGAGTATGTAAGTCGCTTTGGATAAAAGCGTCTAACAAGTAACGTGTAATGTAATGTGTGTGTGTTTGATGCAGTGGAGCTGACCTGAATGCGTTGGTGAGGGAAGCCTCTGTGAACGCTCTGAGGGAATACCTGAAGTCCCAGCCCACTACCACTGCTACACCAAGTAACCTGACTCCTACCTCAAATACCTGTATTCAGTATTTCAAGGGGCCCTGTTATGCTTTTTGGGGTTTTCCCTTTCCTGTAGTGTCTTCTATAGGTGTTGGTGCATGTAAATGGTCTGCAAAGGCTAAAAAGTTCCCTCCAGAGGGTGTTTCTCTCCTACACATTTCCCCACCCTGACTGAAACGCCTCCATTGGACTTCTTTGTTTACCTGTGTAACGTAGTGACAACACTATGTAACACTCTTGCTGCTATTGGCTAACGCTTCTACACATTGCACGTTATAGGCTAGGGCGCGACATCTCTAAGCAGTTGACCAATCGCCACAGAGCCAGCCAGCTAACCAATCAGAGCAGACTGGGGTGTCAATGTTGTTATTACAGGAACAAGCCTTACAGTTTGTTTTAGACTACACCCTCAATATGCTAATATGCTAACCGAGTGACAAGAACTACTGTAATTAGCACATGGATGCTGACATCTTTTTTTTGTTATCTTACATTGGACACTAAAACGTAGCAATTTCATTGCAAAAACAAGATAAAGTGTTCTAATTCTGATAATTGGAAATTTCTATATTGAAAATGGTAACTTTCTCAGGAAACACAACAAAAACATAACAGGACTGAATTCCTGCCTATTGTTTATTTTGTTTTCATTGTTCCACACAGGACACACGTTCACTGCTGGCCCAGTTGTTGACATCAGAGTGAGCAAACTGAACTTTGAGGATGCCTTCAAGAAAGTTCGTCCATCTGTGTCCAAAAAAGTAAGTGCACATTTTCTTGTAGCTCTAATAATAAATGATTGCACAGATGACTGCTGTTATCATACCTGAGTTTCATTACTGACCTCAAAATGATACAATTATAATAGCTTTAAACTGGGAAAATATTAATATGAATCACTCTTATCAGCCTATTTCACAGAAGAAGAAGAAACACATTTTTGAGAACCATTACACCTATGAATTATATTTATATTCCCTATACATTGTGACTGTTCCTGTGTTCCCTGTGCAGGAGCAGAAGATGTACGAGCTGCTCAGAGAGTCCCTCATCAGATAACTACTGGACCAGAACCACAGTTCAACTTTAATGAATCATTTTATGTAATGTATGTATACACATTGTATTATGTTGAATCATAACTGATTCCTGCTTTTGTAATAAAAAGTGTAGAAACCAAATATGTCTGTGTGTTTGTTATAGGTTTGGTTAAAAAAAAAAAATCCCAGCAGTAACTGCTATACCATTGTTTTTAGTAAATACAAAAAAAGTACATTTAAAAGATAGGCTACATGGTATCGTGTGTATGTTTACACCATATGTTTTTGGAAATGTAGCACTAAGGCCATATGGTCTTATTTAATAATTAATTTAAGATCCAGATGGCCTGAGGATAAGAGCCCGACAAGAGCCTGTCTTTGCTGACCTGGGTGACACTAGAAGCCTCTCCAGCGAGGACCTGTTGATAGTAAGGGGTAGTTATATTCCTGCTTCTTCCCAAAGTCCACTATCAGCTCTTTGTTTGCTGTCGTTCAAGAGTAGGTTGTTGACCTGAGAGGCTGCCAATCAGGCCCTCACTTCCTGCATGTCAGGCATTTACATTGTTCTCTGTTCTCAGGCCCAACACAGCTTTGTTGTACATCGGAAGGAGTGTACAGGGAAACCAGCAACGGGCTCAGAACGCAGCCCTGGGGTGCTCCAGTGTTGAAAATAATATTGGAAGAAGGGTTTTCCTCCGATTCTCCCCATGTAGTCAATTAACAGCAATCACACATAGCTAGCCATGTGTCCGCGGGATATAGGGTGATGTGGGGTTTGTGTGCTACGTCATCTTCCATTGATTTCTAGCGACGGTAGGCCCAAATATATAATATGATATTATCCAAAGCAACTTGTAAAAAGTGCAGTCAACCATTAGGATACAACCCAAATAATCACATGAATGAGTTCATCAGTTATCATGACTGTTTCATGTTTCATTGCCTATTGTATTACCAATGTATCAGTATACTATACTGTATGTGTCGACATGGTGTTTCTTCCTTTGTTGTATATTGGTAGGGGTCTACAGGGGAAACAGCAGGGGGCTAAGAATGCTGCCCTGGGGTGCTCCAGTGTTGATGTTGGAAGAGGTGTTTCCTTCTCCAAACTGCTTCATGTGTCATTGCTATCACACAAGGCAAGTACCAGTGTAGCAGTATATGTGTATTTATGTATCTTGTATGTCTCCTTAGCCTCCCCAATCTGGCTCTATGACTGCTGTAGCGCTTTACTGTGGACAGTTCAAAGAGGCCATTGTTCGGATAGCTCCAATCCTTCATGATTCCAGCAGCCTTGGTCCTGCACTGCCTGGTGTTATTGTCTTTAGGCAGTAGTGCGTTCTGCAGACCGTACCAGACTGATCCTTGGTTTTTCTGACATTTAGTGAGAGCCAGTTGTCTCCACCTCCCCTCTCCGCAACAGGCTGGCGCTACCTAATTACATTCTTAATGATCAGACCACTAACATCCAGTCTATGGCTTACTGTATAAATAATACAGTTCTTCTTGTACTGTTGGAGATGGAGATAAAGATTGCCTAGCAAATGTTGATAGTTGCAGTTGGCATGTCTCGTACTGGAAGGATGGGAAACAAAAGAAACTCAGAGCATTATTGTATCAGGCTGTGGACATTTGGAGAACATTAGGAGGATCTATAAATATATATATAATTGTACGTTGGAAAAATCTAAGCTGCCAGGGATGTTGAGGTTTCTTCAGTCAAGACGCATGTAAAACAAGTTTTGAAAAGCAAGACATGATGGATTACACAGCTGCTTATGAATGATGTCAGAGCATATTGTGTATTTGCTGATGTCATTCAAGATGTTTAACATACGACAGATGAAATTAATAAAAAGGTTTGGAAAGATAGTTTAATGAGGCATCATCGCAAATAAATGGTGCTTTCATGTTGTACACTAGACCTTGTTAAAATGTAAATGTGACCTTTGTACATTAACATTTTGTACAACAAATATTCTCAGGTTCCTTCAAAGATAATTTAAATGATAATAATGCAGGACCATTCTTGGTACTTCTGAGGATTTAAGTGAACTCCAGTACCCAGCAACAGTTAATGTTGTATGTATGGCATTGTCTAATAAACTCACTGTTCTGGAGAAAAGAACAAAAAAACATTCAAACAATGGTAAGGAAATACTTTGCAGGAGATAAAGGAATTTCCTAAAAGAAACACCTGGCAATAACAAGGAAGGGGAGGCTGGAGTTTTGCTTTGAATTACTCTTTTTTTTTTTTCTGTAGGGAGGAATTATGTTAATATTGTAGTCATTTTTATTATCAGTCATTTTTTATATCCACTAAATGTCTTCTTGATTTATATGGTTTCCCATTTAAACATTTATACAATACAACTACAGTCTCTTTACAACTGGGACAAATCCATCTGCTGATCATGAGAATTGAAAGCTACTCAATGTGCCTTGTTGTGAAATAGTTTTGCCAACTGCTTTAATCTATGGAACATTGAAAAACGCAAAGAAATCCAGTTTTTTTCATTCATTCTTTTATTGGCTTTAGAGTAACAATATATTATATGGAAAATGTTGGAATCTGCCAATTGAATAGCAACCATAATTAATGTGTTCTTGGTTTCTTGATAAAAACACAGGACAGGGCCTCAGCTGTACAGGCATTGATTTTAACATTAAAAACTATTCTTGGCAGATTCTTCATCAAAATGAATACATAGTAAAAATTGAAATTTAAGACCACAAATTGAAATAAAAGCTGTGAGGCACTGATGAGTAACACATGCTCATCTCCCATACAACAGCACCTTTTCTCAGTCACTGTGTGTGGACAGCAGGTTGCACAATGTTGTGTTAACATTTAGGGGTTGCATGTTAAAGAGCAGTTTTAAAAAGTGTCACAGGGCACAAAAGGTTTCCTAATGCATTTAAAATATTAAAAGAAACCAAGCGAGACTGAATTCATATTCTATCACATATTATGCAACCAACGCATTTCATATGGAGGGATATTAATGATGAGTGGATTCACTCAGGCAACTTTGGTCCAATCGCGAAATGAAGATGTCAACCAATAGCATAGCTGCTTTTATGCTGCTGACCTCTGACCGTAGAAATGGACAGCTTCGATATGGTTTGCAAACTGTTTGGGCAGTTTGCTGTGTTTGGCTTATTTCTGGGGCTGATTGCACAAAGACATGTTGTTTTGTTTCGCTCTTACTAGCTAAATGCTAACCTTTAAACATGAATGAAGTACTGACTTATTCAGGATCTAATATACAAGTAGAGGGAAACTGCATAATTTGAATGTTTGGTTAAATATCAACTGGAGGCAGAGCAGTCTGTTGTTGTATGGACAACTTTGGTTCCTCATGACTAAACAGTGTGGCACCACACTTTGAGGTATTCCCAGAGCATTCAGTGCACATTAGCACACCAGCTAGAGTTTCAGAACATCTACAACAGTAGCATTTTGTGGTACTTTGAAACCGATGCCTTGGAAAAATGAGTTATTACAATTCTACATGAAAGACTTTGTGCAACCAGCCCTATGTACTGACTCTAAACACACTCCTAGATTTTCAGTCACATTTGAACAAACAATGTTGTTTTTGTCTGACAAAATAACAAACTGTAGAGAAAAAGGCGGTTTCTAAGTGTCAACCCTCCTTTTCTAAGCTGTATGTATTAATATGTAAAAGCTACTAAGTTTATGGGATGGTGAGACAGTGCAGTTTAATTCCAGAAGCTTCCAGTGAAGTTACTCCTGTTTGACGTCCCCCTTCAGCTTCCTCTTGACTCTGGAGTAAGGGCTCAGGGTTTCCTCCATGATGAAGTCATACAGCACCTTCACCCACGATGAGTACTGAGGAAGGTCGTCATAATACTCTGCTGCGATTTTCTTCACCTGGAGCACAAGAACGAGAAGAATATACAGCGGTGAGTGCGCTTAAATCACATTTCAATGGGAATTCAAGTCATATTTTGGACATCAAACGCTGAAGTGGCTTCTGGGAAAGAGAATTGTTCACTATTTTCTACGCAAAAACCCACATACAAGAAGGAGTCTTACTTATTCCTAGTAATAGGAGTAACATTATTTAAACACGTTAGAATTTTGTTTGAAAGATAATCTCATAAACTATAAATGGAAGGATCTTGTAAATTAAATATATGAAATGATACAAACTAACCATGAGAATTAGATATCACGTGAAAAGATGGAGTCTGTCCGAGTAGTTGTTGACAATGAATGTACATATTAGGGCTGTGCAATTAATCGTATTTTAATCGCGATTACGATTATGGTTTGCGACGATTATGAAAACAGCATAATTGACAAAATACGATTATTTTTGCTGGGTGTGCTTTCGCCCCTCCCTGAAAGCCCACTCGGCCACGTGGGAGTGACATGTGTTGTGAGTGTTCAGCGCGAGCGAAGATGTCAGATCAAGAGGAGCAACTCGTTAAAAAGAAGGGTACAACTATTTCCACTATTTGGAAGTACTTTGGCTTTCAGGAGTCCCACGTGGAGCAAAACAAAGTACAGTGCAGGATTTGTTACCAGGTTGTGTTGGCACCACACGCTAACACAACCAATCTCTTTAATCATCTGAAATACAACCACAAAGTGCAATACGACCGGGCAGTAATACAACAAAAAGCAGATGCCCGCTCGACTTCATCCACCACATCATCACAGTCATCGATTCTGGACGCATTGTACAGAGCAACGGCCTACGCGACGAGCTCGCAGAGACACAGAGATATTACAGGTGCCATTACATTTCACATCGCTAAAGATAGTTAGCACTGTTAGCAACCAGGGCTTTAAGCAACTTGTCAACACGTTGGACAAGCGTTACGCGATGCCGTCTCGGTATTATTTCAGCAGGTCTGCGCTGCCTGCGCTATATGACAAATGCCGTGGGGAAGTTGAGAGAGATGTGGCTTCAGCTGACTACTTTGCTACCACAACAGACCTATGGTCTAGCTCAGGGGTGCCCAACCAGTCGATCGCGAGATGTGTCTAAAAATAGAACAACAATATTCTGTTTTATCGTTAATGTCCTGTAACATAATCTTCCTGTGCCAGAATAATGCACTTGAACGCATCAAAGCTTTGTGATTGGCCGGCGTCACCCCATGTGTCGGGGCGTGGCTGAGGGTCTTCAGTACAGGTGGCAATATCGTCACCTGCCTGCGCTCATCTCTGAAACCAGACCATGTAAACAGGCTGGTGTTTCTTGCGAACAATCTTTAAGAGATGACATGAGCAGCCCTACCAGCATTTGCCATGGTGGCCTAAACATTTTTATTTGGTCTTAAATTGTAGTTCAACATTTATTTCCTGTTACTTCTGGACCATGACGGTTGGCCAGCCTTCAACGTTTAACTGAGTGGAATATGTTGAATATGTTTTACCAACATGTTGGCTATATGTTAAGGAGTTTTCAGTAGGTTGTGACAGTGCACTGCAACATGTTTGATTTCATTTATTTTGGTCTAATTTATTTTTATTTATCATATTAATAATATATGTTTAGTATGGTTTTGGAAGTGCGCTCCAACATATTTGATCTTGTTTATTGGTAAAATATTATTTGTTTTAAAGTTCAATAAATGGTCAATGAATAATCGTCAAAATAATCGTGATATCAATTATTGACCCAAATAATCGTGATTATGATTTTTGCCATAATCGCACAGCCCTAGTACATATGAGAATTAATAACGTCCTTAAGCTGTTAACTATATACTATACATTGATGTTCATCATTGTCTTTATCCCTTGTTATCTCTTCTGATTGGTTGATGGTTATTTGATCTATGATAGTTCTGACTGTTTTTCATTTTGTTGTGTAAGATTTAAAAAATGTTTTACAGTGTACAAAGCCTATGAATGCATTCAATGTTTAAACGTATGTTGTATAGTGACTTTGTTAACACACAGGTGTAACAGCAGGGTTAGTTGCTGCTCATGTGATTGATGTGAGTCACTTTGGGTGGACAGCTGATAAAGCCTGCTGCAAACAGGAAGTACTGCTAGGACATTCCTCGAGAACATGAGTAAAGGCTATTGAGAAAATGACTGTGAAATGGAACAATAGACGGTGACTAATTGGTAGTGTAACCTAGAATGATGTTTACTCGTACCTACCTTGGTTTAAAATAAGTCTTTCTAAATTCCTCCAAATAGAACCACCTTACATAGTGAGTGAGATCCCGATACATCACACTGTAGGATTGTAGCTTCCAACAACTCGACCTTGTGCTGACGAGTCCGGAGTTGCTAGTGAATAAACTACCGTATCTGAGTTTGACCTTTTTTACTGCCTTTTTCTCACATCGTAACACTCCGGTGATGCTTTACAGCTCATTGGCCTAATGGTGGATTATAACGTGTCTCATCTTTACGGCTTAAGATTCTGAGCAGTTCAGTTCATTTTCTCTGCTTGTATCGTGTTAGACAGGTAACAGAGAGGCCATGACTGTGGTTGGAGTTGTATTTAACCAAATTGGGTCAGCTTATCAAATCCTTTGAAATGTGTATAGGTAATAATATAAACATTAAGCATTTCGCATGCTAGGCTTAAATATGCATGTGAAGATGCTGACATGTAAAGTCTATCAAGTTAGGAAAGGTTAGTATAACATATTAGCATTCATCTCAAAAGACAGACAGACAGCTGTATTTGTATACATTTAGGATAAACTCCAATCAGGTCGGCCTGCAGATCAGTTTCATGATTTATTTTTGATGGACTTCAACATTCCACAGATTCCACAAACAATAGCGATGTGCAGTCAGAAGATGAAATAGAAACAGTGAGAAGCTGAGTCATCAGGGGGTTTGCAGAGCTCGCATGTTTGTATTCATGGAACAAGTTAGTAAGTATTGACTAAAATAAACATTTAAAGAAAGGGAATTCTTTTTGGACAAACTGAAACCATGAGCTAATCATCTCATTGATAACACCTACACAAATATTTTAAATATTTGTAGACTTTTCTCGCAAATACTGATTTAGTTAGTGTTATCCCAATACCAAACGCTTCCTGGTTGTCATGTTTGTGCACGCTCTGTTCTCATCAGTTATCTTGCAGTGAGATCAAGTCAAATACAGTCTTTGGCATACTGTAGACAGTCTCAACCAACAGCCCTAGTGGGTTTGATGGTTTGCTTACCCAAATAACAGGCAAACTGATGTTAATGTAACAGTTCCCACAGACGGAATGTTTGAAAAAAGACCCAGCAGTCTCACAGTAACACGGCTGCACCTTCTTTGTTTAGCTTAGCTGCCTGCCTCGACAGATTAGTCCCCACCCAAATCATTTCTTCCTTTCTAACCTCATGGCGGTGTATTCTGAGCCAACTGTGTGTACCAAGGACCTCCAAGCTGTACTCACCATGGGCAGCCTGCAGCCGGGGATGCTGGGAAAGTCGTGGTGCTCGTTGTGGTAGCCCACGTTGAAGGTGAGCAGGTTGAGGGAGCCGTAGTAGGAGTAGGTCTCGTGGCCCTTGAGGAACATGTAGTGCTCGGCTATGAAGTGTCCAGAGATGGGGTGCAAGCCCATCCCCAGCAAGGACCCAGCCATCATGTAGACCACAGGTTTGCCCCCCCACAGCCAGTAGAGCAGGACGTTGAAGGTGAGCTGCACGGCCACGTTGGTCACCTCCAGCTGAGTGATGGGTTTGGGGTTGATGCAGAGGGGCCGGATGGCGTAGAACAGCGGCTGCAGAATAATCCAGATGAATTTGCGGAAGGGTGTGCAGAAGAACCAGCCCTCAAAGTCAGTGGGGATGTCTACGTCCACCCCGTCTCCACCCAGGTAGCGGTGGTGGTCCAGGTGGTAGCGTTTGAAGGAGGCGGAGTAAGGCAGGCCGATGGGTAGGTTGGCAAACATGGCAAAGTAGCGGTTCCACATGGCCTTATTGTTTCCGAAGGCCGTGTTGTGGGAGATCTCGTGAATAGCGAGCGTCATTGAGTGGTTGATACAGCTGCCAAAGGCGTAAGTCCAAAACAAAACCCACTTCCAGTCCAAGTCTTTGACCAAGTAGAAAGCTAGAAACTGTATCACCACCATCATGCAAACAATCCATTTCAGCCTCGGGTCAGGACCCATCAATGACTTGATTTCTGGGTACTTGGCTGTGGGGGAGAACACAACAGAATTCAGTTAAACTCAGAGAACATTGTTATCTGATTCCACCAGGAAACAAATATTTAAATGAAGGCATTTAGCTAATGATTAGAGTCAAACAATGATACATCTGCGTTATTTAGGTTAAGAGAATGTAATGTACTTTTAAGAACAAGCAGACTTGGCACAAATAACCATTTCAATGCAGATGTGTAATTACTGATTTGCAGCTTGTGAAATGTATTGCACCATCCCCCAATTCTCGGATAAGCCAGAAGGCTTTAGCACAAATCAGCTACAGTGCATGGTGACTCCCAAACAGCCTCAAGCACCTCTTTTTAACCTACTTTTAAGATGTGTATTAACCTCAAGTAATGACTAGCAGCACAGGTTGGGTTTAACACACCAGCAAGTCATTTAGTCAACAGATTCATGAAAGGTTTATTTTTAAAAAAAAGTGTCTCATACTTAACCGTATAACGAAGATGAAACAAATTAAGCCTCATCTATTCATATTTTCCAATCTTAAAAATATATTCATCTTAAGGCACAACACAACAACTCAGCTCGGACTGTGAAATTACAAATACAAGTTATCACTGTATGTTAACACCATTTCAAACCATATGCATATGTCGGGCCGTGTTCGTGTATATGCCGCCCTTGTAATTGTTTTAAATGCTACTGCATTTTTCTTATCATGCTGTGTGCAGATCCGTTGTGACTTTTGACCTCCCCTCTTTGTATGCAGCAGTAATGGAGACCTGGGCTTTACATTGTAAACCCTTTTATCACATCTTTGTTATCTAAATCACCTACGGGAACCAAAGAACAGTAAACATGGAAGGGCATTAAGGGGACAAAGTCATTCAGCCCATTGAGTCATCAGCAGACTGAAATGTCTTCAAGACAGTGCAAGCTGTTACTAGCCAGTATGTAGACATGCAGCGAATCAGATTGAACATGTCAGACCCTTGGTCGGCCTTGACTCATCATCAGCAGTAACACAATGTGCTGTTCCCATATACCAACCAACCAATCAGTGAACCTGTAATACATTGTAATAAAACAATGTACTGTGGAAGCAGAGACTGCACAGGGGTTGGAGTTAAAGCTGACTTCACAACCTCCCACATCACTCTTGAGTTCTCTCTGCGGACATTTGAATACATGTGAAAGCACTGCAGTGGTGGAAAAGGTACTCAGATCTTTGACTTTAGTAAAAATAGCAAGAATACAGTGTAAAAACACGCATTTACAAGTAAACGTACTGCATTCAAAGTTATAATCAAAATATTCTTGAAGTACAAAAAGGGGCGCTTTATGCAGTATATTTCAGAATCATATGTTTAATTATTTTACTTCACTTATTGAAGCATTAATGCCAAAGTTGCACTTGGTAAATGTGGAGTTTGTTGTCAATTACCTTATATGCTGCTGGGTAGCCTACTAACCTATACTAATATATCGTAACGTGTTGATTGATTTATACTTTGTATTTATAATCTAAATCTGCAAAGTAACTTTTAACTTAAGTTGTAAAACAAATATAGTGGAGTAAAAGTGGTATGAAGTGAAAATACTCAAGCCAAGTACAAGTATCTGCATTTAAGTGACATGGTTTCAGCCTGGATATAAATAATTGCATGTTGAAGAGAATGTATTAGTGCAAAGCATTTTCTGTTTAGGAAGTTCACTAGTAATTGATTTCAGTCTAACACATTTCCAATTGTCAATGAATTCAAACCTGCACTCACAGTTCAAGATGAACAATAAAAAGGCCAAATAACACAATGGTCTATCCATGATCAAAGATACAAGTCACAGAAGGCTTCCCTTTCAAAGCCATTACATATTCATTTGATTACAGAAGTTGCACACAGCAAACAAAGAGGGCTTTCAGGTTACATGTATGCATCCTATCAGGGAGGTTGCAGCAGAGAGAGAGACAAGTCTCAGCAAACACTACCTCCTGTGTCATTACCTCTGTGTGTTGCCCCCACCCCCACAACCGAGGCCTGAGGCATGTGACTGAATACTGCTAAGCTCTTCTCAAGATGCAAAAAGAAACACAACCAATGTTTCTTAGTGTGTGTTCTCCCTGGGCATGATCTAACAAGGAAACAAATGAACCCAGTCTGGAACTGACCCAGCGTTTGCTGAGGTTTGGAGGATTCATTTCAAGCTATCAGTGAAGCATGGCAGTAAAACATGGTATACAGTAGGGATGCTCCGATCGCCAATTTCGGGGCCGATCGCCGGAATCAGTATCGGCCGATACCGATCGCCGATCCGATCGAGTGGGCGGGGCCTAAATGGAAGATTTAAACATCACTTTAAATCTTCCATTTAAAGTGATGTTTAAAACTCAGTTAATGGGGCTCATTCACTGGAGCTTCCACAAACAACAATCAACTTAATTATTACATTCAAATGATGTACATTATTCAAGTTTACATTCACTTTGGATAATAACGGGAGAAATGAGCGGAAGCGCTCTCTTTTCCTCTCTCCCTCTCTCTCTCCCCCCTCTCTCTCTCTCCTGACAGCCTGTCAGTATCTCATGCAGCTCACTGATCTAGTAATGAGTGACCCGACAATGAAGAATAAATATATTTATTATAACTAGTTTAGCTTGTTCCAGAGGTAGATAAAATAGCTAAGTGTGTTAGGTCTAACTCTTACGGTACGTCCACACAGCAGCTTTTCAAAAATCTTGGAGCTGGACGTGTCTGAAAGCTTGGGGATTTTTTGCGAGCAACGCGACCAACAACCAATCACATGAATCTCCCGCCCCCGACATACAAAGCAAAAAACCCCGAGGATTTTTTGCGAGCAATATATATATATATATATAAACTCCCCAAACAGGCGAAAACTTACCAGTTTCACCCACTGTCTCTGCCACCTCCCTCCATGCCTGGTTCCTCCGGTTTGTATCCCGTTAATAGTTCTGGTCGTAAAGAACCGGGTGATTTGCTACCGTCATTTCTCGTTTGGAATATGAGGAAATGAACTGCGGTCTGGTTCTCCCTGTGTGTGTGTTTCGCTGCGCTTACCTGTCCGGCGGGCGGAGCTGCAGGATTTCTGCTTCACACACGTTGCATACCGCTATTTTACTGTCTTTTTCGGACACCTTAAAATAATGCCAGACCGGAGAAGCCATTTTGGCGAGCTTGTTTTGCCGCACACAGAGAAAAGTGTCATGTATTTTACGTCATGCGATCGGCTTTCGCGATCGGCATGTTTAGAGAGCACCGATCGATCCGTAGAGAGTGAGTATCGGCCGATCTCGATCGGTAACCGATCGATCGGAGCATCCCTAGTATACAGTTGACAATTATCAAACCTTATGCATTTTATATCAACTGGATAACACTGACATGAATGAGTGTGTGGCAGTATGGCTGTTATACCGTGATATTTACCTAGATGGTTATCGTACAATGGAATAACCTCATACTGTTACACCCTAGTGGAAACACACAACCTTCCTCGTGTGTAGTGAAGCAGTGTGTCTCCTGATCGCTCAGTAAATGAATAGTTCAACCCAGGAGGCAGCTGGCTGTGTGTGAGTCTCATTATCCACAGCACTGGTCTCACCCTCGCCTCACAATGGCAGTACTTTTTGTTTGACAAATTGACTTTTATGCAATGTGTGAAAAGACTAGAGATACAAAGCGGTACATAAAACCTACACATCCTCACCCATCCAAAACGGGCTCCACTTCCAAAGGGATTGAAGAGGACTGCCCTTTTTGATAAATGGGAACACAATGCAATTTAGTGTTGCCGTTTTACCTCTGTGATGAGATCTTGTGTGGAGGAAGGAAATGCTATTTGACTCTGACATTGGAAATATAATTATTGTTGAAGTAGTTTTCTGCAATGAATTTCATTATGTATTACTTACTTTAATGAAATACCCTAATATGTTGGATGACACCTACTACTTTTTAGCATTACAAGTGTATGCAATCCAAAATAGAAACCATCAGTTTAGTCATTTCAAATATTGGTATAACAAGATTACGAATGTATTTCCTCAAATGTGCGTAAAACCCTCCAAAATGTGCCCATGCCAGAGATTATAATATGAAATTGACTAGTAAAGTAGATGCAGGTTGATATAAAGGGGAAAACATGTATATGCATCGGTTGTCCTTTTTTACAAAGGCAAATATAGTATAAAGACAAACAACTAATGGTTACTTAGAAAATGATGGGCACATTACTTGATTATCATAATGATCATTAACTAGAGCCCTAAAATGAAACTAGGGCATTACCAATAAAGCTAATTAAATATCTACACTTGATAAGACTAATGCAGCAATAGAAAAGGTATTGAACCTGATTTCTTATTAAACAGCATCATGTTACGTCAAGGTTAGGTATTAAACACTTCTGAACTAAAAGGCTTGTGATAGCTTCCCTTCTGGCATGGTGTTTCCTTTCATGACTGTATCTAACGCTGAACCGTTACTGCTACTTCCCGCTAGCAGCACCTCAGAGACTCGGTGTTATGTCACTTCAGGGAGTGGCGAATTGACAAAATTACTGTGGCTGTAGGGTTAACGTTACATTGCTAACATGGTTATGTTTCATTAAGCTAACTAGCTACAACTAGCTTTTATAAACATAACTACTTTGATATAACAGCCGTGTTGGTTGCTGTCAGTCATTAAAGATTGTAATGTATTCACCAACCCAACCTGTGTCAGTTAGCTAGTCTGTTACTCGCGAATGGACAGCAGAATATGAAACCGTTAGCTAGCTTGCATAAGTTAGCAAAGCGAGTCAGCTGATATGGAGGAGGCATTTATGCCAAACTGCACGGTTAACTAACGTTAGTCATCAACATACTAAACCAGTCGAGTAAACATAGTTTTATCTAAATAAAGTTCACTATGGGTTTTTCTAAAACTTTCAGACGGATCAGCTAGCTCACCCAGGATCTCTTTCCTCCTGTCGGCGTGCGGCTGGTCTGTGTACACCCACTCATAGTCCTCACGGGCGACCCGGTTCCCCATTTGTTACTGTAATAAACGACTTTCTTGTACAAAAAAACAAACTAAATATCAACCGATCGTTTCAGAAGGGAACTTCTGTGATTGTGATTCTGGTCCTCCTCCTCTCCTCTCTCCTCAGCCTATTGGGCGGATTGAGTCAGCTCTGTCCGGCTGCAGCTCCTCCTACAGCCTCTCAGACAGCAGGCAAGCATATTGAATGACGCAGTTTTTATAAACTATAAAATAATAGTTATAAACCTGTCAGAAATAGCAGCTGGTCAGAGATGACTAGTTAAAGTACAGTAGGAGATTTCAGTTTAGATATTGCAAGAAAACCCATTGTCTTCTTTCAACTTTATAATAGAGGCTTTGCATATGACGTCACGTTACCCGTGACGTCATTAGGAAGCCTCGACCATGCCAAGATAAGAAAACTAGTGATGTTATGTATTTCGCCGAGGCTTCGGAGCGTGTGTCGAGTAATCCCCGAAGCTTTTTGTGAAGAATAGAGACTTCTCAATACTCAAATTTCCCCTCCTCGACTCCTCGGTCCTCCGGTAGTGACCCGGAAATGGATTTCAGCGCGCCATGTTGAAGGACATCTAATTTCTCTAAATGCACACCGAGGATCGAGCGTCGAGGAGGCGCTCCGGAGCTCTAACCGAGGATACACTGATGGTTCCTCCACGGATGTATTTCCGGGAACGGTGGAGGCGTGACGCACGGCCGGATTTATCTCAGCCAATGACAGCTCTGCATGCATCACCTGGGCCCAGGAGTTCAACACTTTCAATCCCTATCTGATCAAATCAGATTTGGATTTTGGGGAGTTCAAAACCAAACAACAGGACTAGGATCACTTTGATATCCGATCAGATCAGGAAATCCAATCCAAGCTTTAATCTGGATCAAATCTTCAAAACGGGTAGTTCAAACCGACAACACAGGATTGGGATCAATTTGATCCCAACAAACTGGATTATCCTGATCCCACCAGAGGGGTGGATTTCCAGTGGATTACCAGAGCAAAATGTACTGTACAATTATTTTAAAATATGTTTCAATTTAAATAAAATGGCAAAGTTTGTTAACTGAAATAATACACAATTTTTAGCCTTCATGGGAAATACATTGTATTTTTTCCATTTTTGCTCACGTTTGTGGGGGCCAGGGGCGTCGCCTGGGGTAGGCATCCGGGGCTTTAGCCCCGGATGTTTTTTCTTTAGCCCCGGACAAATTCTCCCTCAATAATATAATACATTAACCTACTTTACCTATAGGACGGACGGTAGAAATGTAATTTCCCATGTTCGGTGAATGCAACACAGAGGCAAGACGACGCCACCAGACCAATCAGAGAGTTGCATGGAAATAAACGTGTTTTATTGGCTGACAGGTACGTCTCCTCTGTGACAATGTTTAAACTTTAAACTGTCAGCCCCGGACGCGGAGATTCTGAAGATGGACATTAGACATTTCTTTAATAAAAAAGACGGCAATTCTCAAGTGGTGGCTCACACAACAACCCCAGAGCCACCACCTGAGCCAGATGAACAAGGTATGTACCTGTCAGTAAACTTACAAGTTATGCGAACATGTAAGCAAAGCATACATTACAGCTACGTTGACGTTACTTTGAATCGCGCGGGTAAGCTAAACCGTTAGCAAGTAGCTATAGCTAGCCAGATATATTAAATAAACACTTTGTCATACAATCTAAATGTTGTGTTTTTTAGCGTTACTTGGTGATTTCAAAGAAAGCTCTCTGGGAAATGTTGACTTACTGTCTGTGTTCGACATGAAGCTAGAAGCTGCCTTACAGTAGTACACAGTTGATCCTGATTCCTGAGTCCTGTCAGTTAAAGTGTTTCATAGTTAGCTTAGCTAAGCATCAACCTAGCACTGAAATATATATATGGATGTTATGTGACAGTATTTCTGAGAAAGAGTCAGCTAAAATGGTGGCATAGTTGCCACTGCTTTACGTGTCGACAGCATGTTTGAACGTATTTGCAGCATTAAATGTGGCTGTCTGGCCACTGACGTTGCCATAACAACACCTGCATTTAAATGTGCAACCTCTTTTTGTGACAGATTTTGCATGAAAATATAATTCTTCCGATTTATATTTCCTATTGACAGCTAGTTTCTATGTGAACATTATGAGATGGACAGCCAGCTAACAAGCTTTTTATACAAATATTTCAGATCAAAGCCAATCCAGTGGGGCTCCTGAAAGGGAGCATGGGACACTATGCTCCCAAATATTAAGCCTTGACCCGCATCTTAAAATTGATATGATCAAAAAATGATCTGCATTGTCGGAGGCCTTTTTTCCTCATTATCATGTCAAATTGTACAGCTTTCCTTAGTGTTGAATGCTGAAAGATGACTATATTAGAGTATTAAGTGAAAATGACTATATTAAAGTTTTAAGTAAATATATTAAGTGAATTACTCAAACTGCATTTGTATAGAAATGATTCTGTCCTATTGGCAGATAACTACTCTAACAGTGATATCTACAAGAGATGTACATTTAACTATTTTCAATTGGTTAGTATTACATTTTGTGACAGTGTGGTGACACTCATTTTAATGAAGACAAATGTGTGTATCTTGAAATTCATTTATTTGACAGAGCTGGAAACTGATACATACTTGTTTGTGTTTACCTACACAGTCATCACAGATGAGCCAAACAGAGTAGAGGATGAAGAAAGGGGAACAGGAGAAAGGACACACAAGAAGGAGATACAACAGACAAGAACGACAATGGAGACAACAATGAACAGGAACACCAGAACAGACAAGAGGCAATGAGTAACATGACTGATTTAGGGACTGCAGATACAGGGCCAAGGCAAGTGAGACATCACTGCTTTCCATCCAGCATGTTTGGCCAGCAAAAGAGATCATTTCAACCGCAAACAGCAAGTGATGAGGGATTATTATTTCCTCCTTCCATCCCTTTTTTCTGTTTAATCTGATTACTAACAACTTCTAATAATTTGACATAGTTTGATTTAATTGGAAAATGAAGTGTTTTTAAATAATAAACCCGTTTCTGATTCTGATATTTCTTTTTGACATATGGGTGTTGAGAGATGTATCCATATCTCTTAATGTTGCTCTCAAAGTGCACAAGATTGATGCTTTTAACTTCAGTATTTAAAAAAAGTCTTCCTGGGGGACCCCAGAGGAGGTGAGTTCCCCCCAAAATAGCACTTTATCTCTGCTTATGTAACTCCGGTGTAGTGTCCCCTCGGCAACAGATCACTCAGAGCTGGTGATTACTTTCCTGCATTTCAATGGACAGCATAAAAAAAGGACACGTGAGCTGCATTGCTTAAGAGATCCTCTCATGCTATCTCTTTTACAAAATAAGTGTCCAGTCAACAACAAAACATCAGTGATCGTATAGCTGTAGTATATTTTTCACAAGCAATGTGAAACATTAAACTTATACAAACTGGTGTACAAAACTCACATAGCTGCGTTGATCTCCTGGAGTGTCTCTACTCTTTCTTCTCCACATCTCTTGTCCACCATCAGAGATTGCAAACATTTCAGAAACAGCTAGAGGTAGGGGACAAACAACTTGTTCGCAGGGCATGTCAAAAACCTCCCTGCTTTGATCAAGACTTTAGGGAGCCTTTCAGCCCCTCTAGCAAAGGGACTGGAAAGCAAGCTTTGAAAATGCAGTACCATCTACATGCTGTCATGTTCCAGACACTGCTCTCAACCACTCAGGGCCTGCACAAATACCTGCAGAAAGAAACAATTGACTTGGTGCAGGCTGTAGATTACAAAACAGCAGTTGAGAACACACTGAAGAGTTACCAAAGTAACGAGAAAGCACATGAGGTCTATGACAAGACCAAGGCCCTGTGCAATGATCTTGATATTCCCGAAACTGTGACACAGAGGAAGAAGCGTAGAAACATGGAAGACTTTGTAGTCAAGGCATCATGTGGAGCAATGTGAAACATTAAACATAAATAAACTGGTGTACAAAACTCGCATACCTGAATTTCAATGGACAGCATAAAAGGACTCGTGAGCTGGGTTCAGGTGCTCAGATTAGCTATTGATGATCACGTTGATAAATCATATAAAACAAATAGCCAATCACACTAAAAACATGTTGCTGTGACTGTGAGCATTAAACAATTAACATTAAACTAAACAAACACAACAGTACGTTATTGTCCTTATAAAATAAAAACATACATTTTGTCCACCGAGATAATACAGGCACCTTACCCTCAAGAGATCCTCACGTGCTATGAGAATCTCCCACAATCCATTGCCATAACAAAGCTAATGCAGGCACACGTTTGTGACACCAGATGGCGCAATTGTGTATGTGCGTGTGGGGAGTCTTGCAGTAGAACATTTGACTGTAGCGCCGCCACTGTGGGCTAAGCCCCGAATGTTTCCAGGTCCAGGCGACGCCCCTGGTGGGGGCCTATTTTGTTTTCAACCAAATGTTGATGACATAAATGTTTATGCTCATAAAAGTATCACAGCAAAGATTGTCAATCACAAATGTAATTTAGATTAAAGTAAAAATATCTTCAACAAAAAAAAAGTCCATCATCTGTCATCACCTTTCAAATAAAAATATATAATTAGACAGTATAGATGTCTGCAATGTGGTCTCTTGTCTTCCTTGTATTCTTTTTTCAAATCCATTAGATGGCGCTCGGTAGGATTAAAGCACTGATATTCAGTGCTTGAATTGGAATGAAAAAGGTGCCAGTACTCTAAAATCAGCAACTTTTTCAAGTCAATTTTATATATACAGCCCACAAACAAGAATTTGGCTACTATCATGCTGGTGGGTTTGTCTCTTTACTACTGTATATTTTAGAAAGGTTCACTGTACTTAACATTTTTTATGATAGGCAGCGGATATGGCTAAAGCTTAGTAAGGTCAATATTAACTGAAAATATAGCAATCAAAGTCTAGATCTTCTGCTGAAGACACATGAAGCAGAGACCTTTCAGGTGAGAGCCCCTCTGGTGGTGTTCAACATTAATGACAAGGAAACAAAGCTCTGGTCAGAAGCATTTTTTATAAAAAGCTTTAACAAAATTAAGTATTTGTGTACATTTTGAATGCAATCTAACTTTCCAACTCAGAAAACGAAAAGTGCCAAAAGTCTTCTCACATGGCTGAGCTGCTTTGCAATATACTTCACCACTGAAGAATACAAATATGTATAAAGTAAACTATGATGCAATCTAACTTTCCAACTCAGAAAAATGATAAAGAGCATGAA